CGCCGCCCGACCCTGGACTCCGGGACCCCGGGACTCCGGGAGCCTGGAGCCCGGAGCCCGGATCCCCGCCCCGCCCTGCCCCGGGCGCGGCCGCCTAGCCCGGCCGGCTGTCCCCAGCGGGTGGCGTCCCCGACCGTCCCCGGTGATACGAGGCCCCCTTCCTGGCCGCTGTTCCCGTGCACCCCGTCCTGGGCGCTGGAAGGAGGACAGCGAGGCTGTCATCAGCATCTCCTGCAGAGGGGGCGGTGCCTGGGGCTGGAGGGGGCTGGGGTGAATAGAGCCCTGGGGGCAGGACTTTACTGGATGAATGAGTGAGTGCAAGTAGAGGGTGTGTGCCCCAGCTCCCTGCTCTGAGGTCCCGGGTGCCACCTCCCCAGTCTTTGTCTTGTCCACAGCCTTGCCTTTGCCCAGCCGGCACTCCGAAGTTAGGGTGTGCAGCCACACCAGCCTGTTGAACTAAGGGGAGTGTCGTGTTACTATTCGTTAGTTTCCATTTCTTTCATTCCCTCCTGCCTCACCCTCGACAACTGAAAATATTTGTCGCGGCTGTGTCTCCGGAAGCAATTACTGTACTCGCCTTCTCTCCCTCCCTCCCTCTCTCTCTCTCTCTCTCTCCGTCTCTCTCTCTCTGTGTCAACCTCTCTCTCTCAAGGAGACCTGGTTTTCTGGGCTAAACCCCCTTAGCAATTGGTGACTGACCATTTTAAGCTTTCGGTCTGGAGTTTTGAAAATTCTAATAGTTTCTTCGTCATCTGATGTTCAACAGGTGTTCAGAAATCTGCATCTATATTTGGATACATGCCATTTCTGTTAAGTAGCGACCTCTTTTTTCTCCACTCCAGTGACCTAAATAGTTCCTGCAAATAGAGTACACTAGTTGTCACTGCAGGAAATATGTTAAATCTACGCCTATAGATACACTATGAATGAGCTCAACAAAGCAAATACACTATGTATTGAAATGTAATTCTAGACAGAAAGTTGAATATGAAGGAAGACCGAAGAAAATGCGTCAAAATTGTTCTATGTGGTGATTATTACTAAGCTGAAAAGAGTATTAACATATCACCCTAGACACTCAAAAGTGAACTGTAGATATATTGTAGTAACTGGCTTCTCAAAAGGTGGCAAACATGATACATTTAAGGTCTTAGTAATACAGTTTTTTAGTGCTGGGATAATAAAGCATTACAACTAAGTGGTACAGACTGGGTGGAGATTATGTTTAAGCACACAACAAATAAGAGCATGCATTGTTATGATTTGGTGGTGACATGTTCACAGCACCCGGGGTGTCTTTGCCATGAGTGCCTCGTTGTGCCTGTGTGTAATTAGGGAGTCCCTGCTTGAAGCTGTGCCAGCCTGGAGACAGTTTGGCGCTCTCTGTTTTCAGACATAGCCTGAGGTAGGAGAACCCAGTTTTACTCATAGGAACATGGGTCGATCTGTTTTTTCATTTCATTCTTACTCTGTTTTTTTATTTGGGAGGAAGTTTTGTGGAGTCACTAAACACAGTTTTTTTTTTTGGGGGGGGGGGTTTCTCCGGTACCGGGAACCAAACTCACGACCTTGCACTTGCTAGGCAGGTGCTTTTGCCGCTGAGCTAAATCCCTAGCCCCTAAACACAGTTTTAAGATGGGCCCTGAGATTTGATTCTCGGTGACTACATCCAAATTGACCAACTTTTCAAACTGACCCCTTCTCAGTAGGCACTGGAACCATTTGCACCCCACAGTTTCAATCTCCTTAACAGGAAGTCGTTTGTTCTTGAGGACTTCCCTTGGCTAAGGGGCTTTGTCACTAGATGATGGACACAAGATAGGCTTGTGAGGTTAGAAAAAATCTGGTGTAGACAGGAAGCTTGGTTAGGCCACAGGCATGAATTTGGTTTCATAGTAGACCAAAGAGAAGTGACTAGCCCCTGGGGGGAAGTCCCAGACAAAAGGCCAGGTGTCCTGAAGATTTGGGCCCCTGGAATGGTGAGCAGGGTGCTGGCCATCCTGGATCCTACCTTAGTTAGAGCCTGGTTAGTTCATATTTGCCAGGGGTTGGGGGTAGAGGGCAGGGGTGCCTCCAAGACAGTCATAGATTCTTATCCACTCAGTTCCCTGCACATCCCGAGAGGTCACTGACAACACTCAAGTGTTCCCTGCACTGACAGGGAAGGGAACCTCCTTCTTCATTTGTAAAACCACTGAGCAAAGCCATTGGTGTTGCATAAAGAGAAGTTAGTGGGCTCCCCTGCAGGTCATAGCATTAGTCCGGAAGGAGGCTCCAGAGGTAGTGGAGATCCTTGTCAGTCTCTTTGCAGTGAACACCAACAGCTGATAGCCCTATTGTCACTCTGTTTTATTTCTCATTAGGCAGAATGAGTGGTAGGAACTGGTGGCAAGCCTGTCGCTGACTCTCAGGGAAGAGATGGCCAGAGAAGAAGAGATGGGCACTGGGGAAAGTGACTGTGTCATGGTAGACTTTGTAACAGCCAAGGAAGGGTGTACGTTAGACTTGTCCAGGCTACATCCAAACCTTGAGAAAGACAGATTTCAGATTCTTCCAGAAAAATCCCCGATCCCAGGGGCTATGAAGAAAGATGTTTCCACTTAGAGCTGTAAGACCCAACTGAAATCAGTTTAAACTATACATTGCAACTTCCGGCTCTTAAAAGTCTACTTTCTCTCTTCCTCCTACCTATACCCTGTCTAATACCCCCTAGAGAATGTATTCTGATGAGGAAAAAAAAGGGAAGTCACTCAAGAAAATATGTAGGTTTTGAAAGGGCAGGGACCCAGGGGCATTAGGCAAACAGGAAAAAAGTCATTCAGATTAGAAAAAAAGTAAAACTATTTGCTGACCATGGATCTTATATAGAGGAAATGCTAAGGGATTCACCAAAACAAACAAAAAACTATCAGAACAAACACATCTGTCAGGGTTGCAGGATACAAGAGCAGTATACAAAAATCAGTTGAATTTATTTATTTATTTATTTATTTATTTTTGTCTTTTTGAGACAGAGTCTCACTATGCAGTTCAGGCTGGCCTTGAGCTCGCTTTGTAGCCCAGGCTGGTCTCAAACTCGCAAGGATTCTCCTGCCTCAGCCTCCCAAATACAAGCGTGCACCACCATGCCTGGCAGTTGCATTTCTATATATTACAAATGAATAATTCCAAAGTGAATTAAGAAGATAACTCTATTTGCAAAAGCATCTAAAAGAATAAAATACCTAGGAATAAACAAAAGAAGCAGAAGACTTCTTCATTGAAAACTATGAAACATTGTTGAAAGAAACTAATAATAAATGAAAAATTGTTTTGTGTCTATGGATTAGAAGACATGTTACAGTAGTAACACCTCCCAAATTGATTTAAAGATTCAATAGATTTTGTTTTTCTGGTATCAAGAATTGAACCTAGGGCTTTTGGGTCGGGGATATAGCTCAGTGGAACAGTATCTGCCCAGCAAATGTGAGGTCCTGAGTTCGATTCCTGGCACACACACACATACACACACACACACACACACACACACACACACACACACAAAAGAACCTAGGGTTTTTGCACTGAGCTATGATCCCTGCCCTTTTTTACTTTTTATTTTGAACATGGACTCTAAGTTGCTCAGGTTGAGGTCAAACTTGTGCTCCTCTTGCCTACGCCTCCTAGAGAGTGATATTACAGATGTGTGCCACCATACCTGCTTCAATAGATTGTCTATCAAAATCCTAGTTTGCAGCTCCACATGGTGGAGCACACCTGTAATCTCAGCACTCAAGAGGCTGAGGCAGAAGCATCACTGCAAAGTTCAAGGCAAGCCTGGGCTACAAAGTGAGTTCAAGGCCAGCCTGAACTGCATAGTGAAACCCTGTCTCAAAAAGACAAAAAACAAACAAACAAACAAACAAACTATCAGAAAAAAAAAATACTAGTTTGCTTTTTTTTTCTTCAAAAACTGACCCAGGATGCCAAAACAGTCTTAAAAAAGAATGAAGTTTGGATGACTTGCATTTCCTATTTCAAAACTTACTGCATTGCTGTAGTAAACAATGTATTGTGGTATTGGTGGGACACTTTGTGGGCTGGGGCTGGGGATATATTTGTGTTATTGGAGCTACCCTTTAAGATGGGTGTTCTAAGATATTTGGCCTGAAAACACTCTTTGGACCCTTTGAATCTTGTTTCTTCATCATAAGGTCAGGTTACTGCCCTTTACCTTAGGGATTTAGGTAAGATATGGCTGGAAGAAAAGACAAACAAGCCTGGGGAGTAGAGCTACAGATAACCTTGGGGAACTCTGGGTAACCTTGGGTACCTTTGTGTCCTGTAGTTGTTTTCGTAAAAGTACAATTTTAAAATTACGATTTTCTTGTCTCCTTTCTACCTATCTTTATTTCTTCTGCCTCAAGTCTTCTAACACTAAGCAGCCTGTGATTTATGCAATTTCTATAATTCTACAATACTACCAATCAAATAATTTCTGCATTTTTGTGCAATGATTTTAAAAGAAGAATGGGTGCCAGAGAGAAAAAGAAGAGCAGAAACAAGCTAAAGGAACACAAGAGCAACGGAACAAAAGGATAAATGTGAAAGGGAGCACGAGTAGGTACCATCTAGAGCTGTATGGTTTTACCCTGTGTGAACACATTCATTGTCCATAGCGCTCAGCCTGGTTAGATGGAGATAGGATAAATATTTTCTATAAAATGCTTGATTGTCTAACTGCTTCGGAACTTTAAGTATTAACATTTAAATATAGTGGTTGATAGAGAAAAAGAGGAAGGAACCTACGTGCAAAACAGAAATAAGGTTTATGGGCAATCCAAAGGGTCAAGAAGCTAGAATAGGCTAAGAGACCAAGAGTGCCTTGCTCGACAGAAGGGCCTTTTAAGGTATGACTGGAACTAGACAGAGTATCAGGAAGTGATAAATGGGCCCACTGCTTGGGTTCCTGCTACAATATTAACAGAAAGCAGAACTACTCGGCTATTATTTTGCTTCCTCCTTTTCTTTCAATGAAAGCCTTCTACTGAAGGTAGAAGGGAGCCCAGCCCTGTACTAGGAGGGGTTAAAACCCAGAGGAGGAGGAGAGGAGGGTGCCCAGTACCTGCCACAGGAGAGGGTCAGGAAAGATCTGGGTGCCCTGGATAGAAAGAATTTGCAGTTAGGAGGGAAGCACCATCGGGTGATGTTGAAGGCATGGTGAAGAATATACAAAGTATTGGGAAATTGGAAGCAGGTGATGTCTTTTCAAAAAAGGGAGAGAATGGATTCTGGTTAGGCACAAAGTGTGATTTCATTGCTTTAAGAAACCGCTGGACTGAGTAATTAAAGAGAAGGAAGATGAAGGCACTCACTGTGAGGCAGCTTTATATACATTTTTGGGGTTATTGGGGGATCTTGGGGGCTACAGGGTCTCGCTATTGTAGCCCAGGCTGGTTTTGAACTCACAGCAGCTCTCCTAACTTAACCTCCCAAGTGCTGGGATTACAGGCATGCTCCACCACACCTGGCCAGCCAGTGCATATGTTTTTAAAAAACAAAAATCTCATATCAGGAACCCTGAGGGTTGAATCTGACAATTCTCTCATTCAGATGCTGAAGCCCCTGAAAATCATAGTCTCCTGTACCATTTACAGTGCTCTCTCCACATCTCTCTGGAATATTGAGTTATTTATTTATTTATTCATTTATTTAGGTCTTTTTGAGGCAGGGTTTAACTATGCAGTTCAGGCTGGTCTTGAGCTCACTTTGTAGCCCAGGCTGGCCTTGAACTCACAGTAATCTTGCCTCAGCCTCCCAAGTGTGGGGATTACAGGCTTGTGCCACCACGCCCGGCTTGAGTTATTTTTTTACAGAA